TATCCTCGTAAAAACTCTTCACTGCTTTCAGTAACCTACCTCCTACACCATACACTTGCAACATCTGCCACATTGCCCCCCTATCCACCCTGTCATATGCCTTTTCCAAATCCATAAATGCCACAAAGACCTCTTTAGCCTTATCTAAATACTATTCACTTATATGTTTCACTGTAAACACCTGGTCCACACACCCCCTACCTTTCCTAAAGCCTCCTTGTTCATCTGCTATCCTATTCTCCGTCTTACTCTTAATTCTTTCAATTATAACTCTACCATACACTTTACCAGGTACACTCAACAGACTTATCCCCCTATAATTTTTGCACTCTCTTTTATCCCCTTTGCCTTTATACAAAGGAACTATGCATGCTCTCTGCCAATCCCTAGGTACCTTACCCTCTTCCATACATTTATTAAATAATTGCACCAACCACTCCAAAACTATATCCCCACCTGCTTTTAACATTTCTATCTTTATCCCATCAATCCCGGCTGCCTTACCCCCTTTCATTTTACCTACTGCCTCACGAACTTCCCCCACACTCACAACTGGCTCTTCCTCACTCCTACAAGATGTTATTCCTCCTTGCCCTATACACGAAATCACAGCTTCCCTATCTTCATCAACATTTAACAATTCCTCAAAATATTCCCTCCATCTTCCCAATACCTCTAACTCTCCATTTAATAACTCTCCTCTCCTATTTTTAACTGACAAATCCATTTGTTCTCTAGGCTTTCTTAACTTGTTAATCTCACTCCAAAACTTTTTCTTATTTTCAACAAAATTTGTTGATAACATCTCACCCACTCTCTCATTTGCTCTCTTTTTACATTGCTTCACCACTCTCTTAACCTCTCTCTTTTTCTCCATATACTCTTCCCTCCTTGCATGACTTCTACTTTGTAAAAACTTCTCATATGCTAACTTTTTCTCCCTTACTACTCTCTTTACATCATCATTCCACCAATCGCTCTTCTTCCCTCCTGCACCCACTTTCCTGTAACCACAAACTTCTGCTGAACACTCTAACACTACATTTTCAAACCTACCCCATACCTCTTCGACCCCATTGACTATGCTCTCATTAGCCCATCTATCCTCCAATAGCTGTTTATATCTTACCCTAACTGCCTCCTCTTTTAGTTTATAAACCTTCACCTCTCTCTTCCCTGATGCTTCTATTCTCCTTGTATCCCATCTACCTTTTACTCTCAGTGTAGCTACAACTAGAAAGTGATCTGATATATCTGTGGCCCCTCTATAAATATGTACATCCTGAAGTCTACTCAACAGTCTTTTATCTACCAATACATAATCCAACAAACTACTGTCATTTCGCCCTACATCATATCGTGTATACTTATTTATCCTCTTTTTCTTAAAATATGTATTACCTATAACTAAACCCCTTTCTATACAAAGTTGAATCAAAGGGCTCCCATTATCATTTACACCTGGCACCCCAAACTTACCTACCACACCCTCTCTAAAAGTTTCTCCTACTTTAGCATTCAGGTTCCCTACCACAATTACTCTCTCACTTGGTTAAAAGGCTCCTATACATTCACTTAACATCTCCCAAAATCTCTCTCTCTCCTCTGCATTCCTCTCTTCTCCAGGTGCATACACGCTTATTATGACCCACTTCTCGCATCCAACCTTTACTTTAATCCACATAATTCTTGAATTTACACATTCATATTCTCTTTTCTCCTTCCATAACTGATCATTTAACATTACTGCTACCTCTTCCTTTGCTCTAACTCTCTCAGATACTCCAGATTTAATCCCATTTATTTCCCCCCACTGAAACTCCCCTACCTCTTCAGCTTTGTTTCGCTTAGAGCCAGGACATCCAACTTCTTTTCATTCATAACATCAGCAATCATCTGTTTCTTGTCATCCGCACTACATCCACGTACATTTAAGCATCCCAGTTTTTATAAAGTTTTTCTTCTTCTCTTTTTTAGTAAAATGTATACAGGAGAAGGGTTACTAGTCCATTGCTCCCGGCATTTTAGTCGCCTCATACGACACGCATGGCTTACGGAGGAAAGATTCTTTTCCACTTCCCCATGGACAATAGAAGAAATAAAAAAGAACAAGAGCTATTTAGAAAAAGGAGAAAAACCTAGATGTATGTATATATATATATGCATGCGCGTGTCTGTGAAGTGTGACCAAAGTGTAAGTAGAGTAGCAAGATATCCCTGTTATCTAGCGTGTTTATGAGACAGAAAAAGAAACCAGCAATCCTACCATCAATGCAAAACAGTTACAGGTTTTTGTTTCACAGTCATCTGGCAGGACGGTAGTACTTCCCTGGGTGGTTGCTGTCTACCAACCTACTACCTACATATATATAAATATATATATATATATATAATAATATAAATATATATATATATATATATATATATATATAATATATATATATATATATGGATAAAACACGTAAAGTTTTCTCATATTCCGATAGTAAAAACTACTTACTATCTTCTGCAATCGACACATTTTTCATTTCGCCATTGACAGCAGCTGCTCCTGAGGGAGAAGAAAAAAATAAAAAATTAGCTGGAGAGAATCCAGACATGAAAATTAATGCTAAGAAAGAGCATTTACACTGAAAGTTAACATTAATATTAACAATAATTATAACTAAACAAAAACAAGCTTCTTGAGAAACTGTACTGCAAGAATAACAATCCCTCACATGAATAAGAAAAGTTAATGAACCAGCCCAGAGGACCAGATCACTACCTATATACAATCAAGCACTGACACGAAGTGTAGACCAACACCAGTATACCACCCAGTGACACGAAGTGTAGACGAACACCAGTATACCACCCAGTGACACGAAGTGTAGACCAACACCAGTATACCACCCAGTGACACGAAGTGTAGACGAACACCAGTATACCACCCAGTGACACGAAGTGTAGACCAACACCAGTATACCACCAGTGACACGAAGTGTAGCCAACACCAGTATACCACCCAGTGACACGAAGTGTAGACCAACACCAGTATACCACTCACGTGACACGAAGTGTAGACGAACACCAGTATACCACCCAGTGACACGAAGTGTAGACCAACACCAGTATACCACCCAGTGACACGAAGTGTAGACCAACACCAGTATACCACTCAGTGACACGAAGTGTAGACCAACACCAGTATACCACGCACTGACACGAAGTGTAGCCCAACACCAGTATACCACCCAGTGACACGAAGAGTAGACCAACGCCAGTATACCACCCAGTAACACGAAGTATAGACCAACACCAGTATACCACCCAGTGACACGAAGTGAAGACCAACACCAGTATACCACCCAGTGACACGAAGTGTAGCCCAGCACCAGTATACCACCCAGTGACACGAAGAGTAGACCAACACCGGTATACCACCCAGTAACACGAAGTATAGACCAACACCAGTATACCACCCAGTGACACGAAGTGTAGACCAACACCAGTATACCACACAGTGACACGAAGTGCAGACCAACACCAGTATACCACCCAGTGACACGAAGTGTAGACCAACACCAGTATACCACCCAGTGACACGAAGTGTAGACCAACACCAGTATACTACCCAGTGACACTAAGTGCAGACCAACACCAGCATACCATGCAGTGACACGAAGTTGAGACCAACGCCAGTATACCACCCAGTGACACGATGTGTAGACCAACGCCAGTATGTAAATGCACTGACACACAAGACAGCAGGTCCATGTTGACATGAGGATATCAACGATTATATATACTCAAGGTGCAGACCACCAGCACTGATATTCTATTAATCTATACCCCCACTAGAATACCGAAACGTTGAGACATATAACTGCTAGACTTTCTCCAGCGGAAGAAAGTGACAAACGAGGCTCAGTTCTCCTCCAGAATTATCAAAAGATAACGACCCACAAGGTTTTTAACACTAATCAGTATATCACAGTCATTAACAAACATGACATAAGCTTCAGACTACCATCTGTATGCAAACATTTCTTGACAGGTAACAAAGGAGGCTAAACCTAACACCAAGTAATTAACAATCAGCGGCGCACAAGATATGAAATTCAGACCACCACCAGTAATTAGTCAAGCAGTAGCTAACCGGTACCTTAAATAAATCAACAAGCAGTGACACACAAGAACTAGACCACCACAAGTTTTCCAAAACTCGGTAACACACAAAACAGGAGAATAAGTCCATCACCAATAAATCAAAGAGCAGTGATTCACCAGGGCCAGACCACTGCCGGTTTATCAGCAGTCGCTGACACACGATAACCAGTATAGCAAAATGCAGAGACACTCAAGAAAACTTAGAAAACCAATAAAAACAACAGTGATAGACAAATCTTACGGATCAGAACACCAGTAGTAAATCGAGTAGCAGTGACATACAAGGACTAGTGCGCCACCTGAATGTGAACAATCAGTAGCCTACAAGGACTAGTCCACCATCAAAATATAAACAAGCAATGACACCAGAATATCACCTTGGTTATTCCTGCTACTAGCAGGAATGACCATGATGTTTTCTTACCCATGAAGAGCAACACGACCAATCCACCGTTCATGGTGACGGGTTGTGTTAGCAGAATCAGTGAGAATATCCGAATGATACAACCGTCCCCGGGCTACTCGGTCCTGCCCGGTAAAGGGTTTTAACTCCATCCTCCCTTCCTGCCTTTATATCACACAACTTCTCTGTCCTTGAAACAAAGTTCTCACCAGCTCTTTATCTTATGGCCTCTTTCCCTTCTTTTCATCTCTTGTTTTTTTCTTGCTTATAACCTAATAACCATCATGCTTTATCGGCATGCCAGGGCACCCAGGGTTACGTTGGGAGTTTTAACATGTCTGTACTGTGTCAAAAAATATTATAAGTTACTATGACATTTTATATTTTACGAACCTTAATTGGGGATCTTTCAGTTGTTACTCGAATTTTGTTTCTACCTTCATTTTTTTTTTAATTTCGTTTGCTCATAACTCGAGAACGCCTCATCCAATCCTCTTCAATATTTAAATTCTTATGCACGATAAATAGGGCCATATTCCTGGAACAAATAGCATGTGAAAGTGCCCACTGACAAAAGTTGTTGATCGCATTCCCAGGAGCCACGAATAGGACTGATAACTTCCAAAACCCTCAGCTGCGTAGCTTCTAATGTTAAACAACAGTGGAGAGTAAAACTCAAGCGTAGATGTAGTTAGTTTAGCATCTCTATTATGCAGTCCATACCATTGTGTGTATGGTAGTCAAGGTAATTACAGAGACAGATAATGGGTTCAGGGGCTGAACGTCATAATTTCCATAGATGAACAAGTTAGAGTAGTAGTGAAGTGTTTACATACTCATATCCGTTCACAGTCGTAATGAGTTATTTATGCAGATATTAATTTGGTCTCACTCACACACAAACACACAAAGCGGTAATGATTTATTTACAGTGGGCAAAGTCAGGGTATTTTTCCAGAATGATTTGTAATACACCACTTAGTAATATACCTCTGAGTGAATTGTCTCTGAATTCATTAATTTTATCGCATTCTGATACAAAATGATGCAACATGTGTTAATAGGCCATCTGGTAAAGTTTACATTTTGTTTGGCTTACAACTCACGACGGTCTGGAGACTCTCTGACCGCGGGTTCAAACCCCACCGGTGGTATGGTTCATTTATATCCATTCTGTAATATGGTGACCAAACCTGGACAGCATAATTTAAATGAGGTCCAACCAAAGATATATAGAGCTGATGAACAACCTGAGGACTTCTATTATTTATACTTCTTGCTATGTCGCATGGTTATTTTCCTGTCCAATATTTAGAACTTTGCATTTGTCAATATTAAACTGCATCTGCCACTTCTCCGACCATTGCATCAGTCTATTCAAATCATTCTGGAGTGCTCTAATGTCCATGTTAGAATGAATTGGAGGGCCTATTTTGGTGTCATCAGCAAATTTCCTTATGTCGCTATTTATTCCCTCATCTATGTCGTTTATGTAGATTGTGAACAACAAGGGGCCCAACACTGGCCCTGTGGAACACCGCTTGTGACGTGCCCCCATTCCGATTTCTCCCCATTTATGCAAACTCTCTGCTGCCTATTAGTATTATTGTTCTCAATACTTCTGACAGCGCAAGATTGTAGTCTACTCCCTCTTTGAAGGCATATAACTTAGCCAATTCATCAGCTCTATCGTGTATTTAAAGACCAAGGTTAGATGGAATACACAGAAAGTGCACTCCGACTCTAGTGTTCACAATCCTACCATACCAGTGTCTGGCTTCAGATACAAGCATGCCACAGCTCGTACTTCAAGAGTTGAGAGTATTTATGGATGATACAGAATCAGTTACAATTAAGGTGTCAACCTTAGATACATGGATGCATTTGAGAGCAAGAAGTATGGCAACCGTTCTGTTTGTAGTGTAGAGGCCCAATTATTTATGCGTGCTCCAATTTCTTTATGAGAGCCATCACTCTGTAAGACAACAGCAGCACTACCAATTGCACAGAGGATTGATGAAAAGAGGCATCAACATAAATAATTTGTGATAGAGTATGCTATGTGACTAAGTTATCACTACAAATTAAGGTGTCTTGCTTGGCTTCAAGGCGAAGCTTTGGTTAAGATTTAAGAATATTTTGGGGGGAAAGGGAAGGATATTTGTTTGGAATGGGGTGATATCCCATGGAGCGGGCAAGTGCCGCTGTTGCCTTACTTGAAATAGATCATATATCTGGTTCATGCCGAGGTCAGTTCCAGTTTTTGCGATCCTTCTGGAGGAGTGTTCACCAGTGCTGAGGAAAGTTTGGAGGGCTTCTGTGCAGGGGTTTGAATTTGTTAGCCTGAGCATATTGACCCCAATGAGGGCATTTCTTTCAGTGGCACGATCTCTGATGCTTGGGATATCAAGTTCTTTCCGCATATTTAGAATTTTGGCAGTACAACGGCATCCTAGGATGATACTCATTGCTTCGTTCTGCAGTTTTTCCAGTCCTAAAACCTTCCAGTCTTACACAAGAGCAAGTAGTGGAGCGGCAAAATCAACCAATGATCTTATATAAGCAAAATACATTATTTTCACAATTTTAGTTTTGGCTCTATACCTGGGATAAAACCTGCTATAATTCTAAGTGCTCTCAGCCTTCCTTTGTATTGCCGACAAAGTCTTTTTACAACAGGTTCAAGTAATAGAACTTCAAAGTCTAGATATTTCTATCTGGTTATATTTTAGAAGAGACCCATCATGCAACTGGATCTGTTGAACTGCGCTTCTATGTCGAGGAGGACGTCTGTTGAGTATCTTTTCATTTATCAGTAGTGATAATCAGCCAGAGGTTCTGACACTAGGCTCGTGCGTGGTTAAGGATGTTTTGGGTATTGGAGAATCCGGTGGTACGAATAACTGTATCATCAGCAAAGTTAATCATATAATGATCGGGCTGGCTAGGCGTTGTATAAAGTAAAGATTTAATTACAATACTGAATAAAATGGGACTGAGTACACCTTCCTGTGTGATTCCTAACTCAAAGTCTTTGATTACACTTATATGTCCCTGGAACAACATAGAAAACTTTCAGTGAGACAGGTAGCTTTAGATTAGAAATATTTAGATATACGTGCAACATTTGGGTATCTTTATTGTAGACGTTTCGCAAACCAGTGGCTTTATCAATGGAAATTCTAGGACATAATTATGTTCTAGAATTTGTATTGAAAAAGCCACTGGTTGGCGAAACATCTACACTAAAGATACCCAGATGTTGCACGTATAGGTATTGTATACCGTCATGTACAGCTTTTGAATCAGCGAAGAAGCCATCCTCCTACATCTGTTCTGGCAAGTTCACTAATGATTACATATTGTTTGGCTACATCAAAAGTAGATTTAAGGTCCAAGAAGGCAGTGTATGAGCTGTCAGTGTGCAGGGTAAGAAAGGTGGCTGTACAATGATGCACGCTCCTTCCGGGCACGGAACCATACAACTAGGGAGACAAATTGTTTGATTCGGTGCATGAGGCGATTCAGAATCATCCTCTCCAATGTTTAACACAAGCAGCTAATGAGAGGTATTGGGCGAAATGCATTTTCTTGATTGGGCTTTGGAATGGGAAAGATAAGACTGTTGGTCCTTGATTTAGGGAGCTCCCCAGTTGCATAGTTCATGTTAAATAATTTAAGTAAGGGATTACCTGCTATTCGATATAGTTGTAATTCCATCCTTCGCAGGCGACGTGCAGTTGCGCTTGCTTAGTACTACATCGAGCTCAAAGTTAGTGAACGAATTGTTGCAGTCATGTTCCTTGCTGAGCATAAAGCAAATCAGTCTCTCCCTTGCGTCATATTTGTCCATTAATTTCATGTGTTGTACTGGTAAGATTGTCATAGCTAGACGTAGTAGCCCAAACACCGACTAACTAATTCGCTTTATGTACGGTATGAGGGTACCCGATCTGACCAGTTATATTATGTTTAATTCCATTTTTATCCCTCCATGCCCGGCTAAGTGTAGGGTGTGAGCACTGAGACCAATGACACGTTTTTCCCAGTCTGTCGAAGCTCTGTCACACGCTCCCTAGCAGCAGCACGGGCAGTTTGAAAGAGCTTCAGCGTTTCAGGGGTACGATATTTTCTATAAGCTAACCAGGCGCTGCTGTGTGAGATGCCAGACTAGGGAATCATTGCTGTACTGTTCATCAGTCATCGCTAGTGCTTTAGTACCTGCAGCCATGATATTGATAAATGATTTTCATGGTGTACCACATCTAGGAAAATATCGCAATGTCAAACAAGCTTCAATGAAATACTTCTGGGTGAAGGTGGCACAGATTTTGGAATATGTACAAAGAAAAGTTGTCTGCCTCTAACACAGTTGTAAGCGGTACTTACCTAATCGTGACGTATCCTGTCATGAAAAAGCCTTAGCAGAGAACGTCCAGTGACTTATTGACAAACATTTTCGTCAATAACTTTTACCATCACAAGCGCCTGCTTGTGATAGTTAAGATTGTTAGGTAAGACATATGCAACAGTTAGGTATCTTTATTTCGAAACGTTTCGCCTACACAGTAGGCTTCTTCAGTCGAGTACAGAAAAGTTGATAGAAGCAGAAGAGACTTGAAGACGATGTAATCAGTCCATCACCCTTAAAGTTTTGAGGTGGTCAGTCCCTCAGTCTGGAGAAGAGTATTGTTCCATAGTCTGAAACAATATGGAGTTGAAGTGATAGGATGGAGCCTTATATAGCGCCAGGAGGTGAGACGTGGATCACTAGTAGAGGTAAGAACGTAGACGTTGGGAGGTCAGGTCCCTCTCAAATCCAGCCATTCTCACTAGTAGAGGTTGTCGAAGTTGATTTCAGGTCTGTACAAAGATACCCTTGTGTTGCAGTGTTTGACAGAGTGAACATTAAAATTGTATAAAATACCGACAGGTTGTTAGGTAAGACACATATGCAACAGTTTCGCCACACAGTGGCTTTATCAGTCCATACAAAGGAGAATCTTGAAGAACAGGAGGAGAATGAGGTAATCAGTCCCTCAACCTTGAGTCGATGTGGTCAGTCCATCAATCTTGAACAGAATACGGCATACGTGCGGAGAAGGAGCTTATAAACCGTAGGCAGGAGAGGTG